TCTTATCTAAATTCTCATCAAGTCGTTTTTTACATTACACTTTCAAATTTCATTGCTTTTGAAATTTTCTCCCTTTCATCACACAGTCGGTGCAGACTTGTCAGCTGTACATCCTTTTATGCTCATCCTGTGAGCTATTGTGCTAAGATCTGACAAGGGTAGTTCACTCATTGTCATGGTTAATCACATTATTTTATTGTATGATACCTTGGTGCCACTGGATTTTAACATGTCTCACACTCATACAGTAAGACAAATGGTGGGGGTCTAGTAAGGAAGTTGGGGGAAGCAGACAGCTCCACAGGAAGAATCTTTTGTCTCTTCGAGGACTCTGGTAGGTAGCAAGGGAGTGTGAACCTTAAGGTGTGAAACAGCTGTGTACTGATTTATTTATGATTCTAGATTTAGAGCAGAAGTTTTTTGCACTGCATTTTAAAATGAAAACAATAGCATTTATTTACAATTAAAGACACAGAGCAGAAAGTGTGTTACTGTTTTACATCCACAGACACACAAGAAAAGAAGCAGGCAACATGAGGTCAAGTTATGGCAATTTTATTTGTGTATTTCAGTACATGTATTTAGATTAGAGTTTTAAAAAAAAAACGTCCCAAGAAGAAGGATGGGGTGAAAGAAAGGTGGAGAGAGGAGGAAGAAACTATTGATCTCCTCAAATCCTTAAAATCCGTAGAAAAACAGTGATCAAAAACATTCTAAGCTTGAGCGGTCAGCAAAACTCGACTTCCCCCTGTTACGGTTCGGCGTTGGCAGTGTATTGTTTTAGGCGTTTTGTTTTGGCGTGACTGTTATGTGTTTCCTGTTTTACTTTGAAAGTCTGTGTTATCTTAGTGTGTAACACCCCCATCACCCACTAATTCACAAAAATTCCCTCGGGACGTGAACAGGTGATATAGCAACCACTATTACTATTACCGACACCACGTGACCCAAAGCTACGCCTAACCACAACAGTTATCTTTCAAGGTTCAGTAGAAAAACACAACTGTCCTATTCAAACCAGACAGGGATTAAACAAATACTGATTAATGATTCATTTCTAATCTTGTCTGACTGGATTTTTAACTGACTTGTTGAATATTTATGTAAAAATAACTTTGAGCTCTCTTGACGACTTTACTAACCAGATGATGATTGATGTCTCTCTACAGTTCTGTGAAAAAGTATTTGCCCCCTTTCCTTAGTTTCCTGAGTCATTTATTAAGGGAAAAAAATTTGCCCCCTAAATGTCATAACTGGTTGTGACACCGTTGGTAGGAGTAAAGTGTGTGTGATAAGTAAATGGTAAATGGCCTGTATTTATATAGCGCTTTACTAGTCCCTAAGGACCCCAAAGCGCTTTACATATCCAGTCATCCACCCTTCAGCACACATTCAACACTGGTGATGGCAAGCTACATTGTAGCCACAGCCACCCTGGCGCCACCGGGCCCTCTGACCACCACCAGTAGGCAACGGGTGAAGTGTCTTGCCCAAGGACACAACGACCGAAACTGTCCAAGCCGGGGCTCGAACCGGCAGCCTTCCAATTACAAGGCGAACTCCCAACTCTTGAGCCACGATCGTGCTCAAGAGTTGGCAATAAGTCTAATTTTGCTTTGGAGGAATTTCATCCGACAGAAAGAAAACCAAATCAGGAAGGGGGAAATATTTGCTCACAGTACTGCATAAAGTCAGTACATGCAATAAAATACTGCATAGTTTGCAAATCAGCCAAAAAAAAAAAAAAAAAAAATTAAAAAATTTCAATCTATGAATCTATACCTGGGACTCTTTATATTTGAAGTACAGTATCCCAAGACGTCTCTTTAGAAAAATTGTTTACCTTTTCCACTTTGAAAAAGATCAACTCCTTCCTTCCGCATTCCTTATTAAGTTCCATCCTTGTCACTGTTAACTTTACTCATTAGTCTTGTTAGTGGAAAAACTGCAGGCAGGAACTGCTGCATCTTTGACATGTGTCACCAGCTGTGTCTTTTTACAACTAATGATCGTAATAATCACACTGTCACCAGGAATTTTATTTTAGATTATTCTGCAAGACCTCGTGTTAATTTTTTTTTTTCTAGAATTCTAGAATATCAGCCACATTTTTCCGACTACACTAAAAGTTTCACCAGACTTTCATAGTTCCTGGACGATAGGTCCTAATGGCTTATGCAATCCAATGTATTTCATCTAATGTCATAATGAGGTTGGTGGTTTTAGGTGAAATGTACTGTCAGTTATTAATAGAGTGTCATTAACTTTGACATGCTGTATATCACCCTATGTCAGCTTAACTCTTTAACATTAGCATTTCTGTACTACGTGCTTATTTAAATTACTCTACGCAATATTTCTTTATGGCAGCCAAAGCATGCAGGCATGCAGTTGGGGATTCACGCCACGAAGTTAACCATAAACTCTTTTTACCCACCGATAGAAATGAGATTTCTGATTAGATTTTTGAGTCCTAGTTTGGTGTACACCCTCGTTCAACTATTTCAAGGACAGACTTACATAAAAAAAAGATGTCTCAGCAAGTATTGGAGGCCTGTGATGATGAATGCCCTTACCTTCAGAGAGGGATATCTAGTTTTTATTAAGTTCCATCCACCAACCAGACAGGAGATTAACCCATAGAACTGCATCTCTATCTGACGGAAAGCAAACACAAAACCTATACATTAGACAGCAGTGATGTGTCGCATTGTGCTGAGTGATTTGTTGCAGTGGTGGACATTTTATTTGGGATTACATTTTTGTTATACTCAGCCATAAGTTGGCCATATAATTTTTTAATTAATTAATAAATTACATTTTTAATGTTTCTATAATAGTTACTGCAACTGTATGTTCAAGCTGTGCCAAATTACAGTTATTTACTTGCATTTTTACTGGCATTCCTCAACATAAAAAAATGTTTTAGTGGTTGAATGTTATGCTCGATTAATTTCTGACTTCTCACAGAAATTCAGTGGGCCAGCTCAAATTTGTGCATAAAAAAGTAAATTTGTTTTCTTATTTGTCTGATAACTAAGAATAGTTTTCGGTTTTAAACAATTCTCATGAATGCTTTCTAAAAAAAAACTGGTGTTTTCTTGTTTTTATAACAGGTAGTCTAAAATTTTTTATTGCCAGATTAGGTTCAAAGCACTTTAACTTAATCTGGCAGTAAAATGCATCTTATACTAAAGCAACAGTAATAGGAACCAAAAATAAATCATTCATTATAACACAACACAATATAGATCGGTAAGATTCCCGTAACATGAATTAGGTTTGTAACATGAACATGAACACACCCATCTGAAAGACGAATGTTTCTGCATTTTAACAGTAAGTCAATCTAAAATTGCAAATGATTTTCTCATCTGCAACACATAATATCATTAAACGCTCCAGAGAATCAATATGTCTGTATGCACGCGTGCAGGCCATTTCTGCTGTCAACTGGTGACCACCCACGCTATACTTGCTGGTAAATACTGCTAGGATATAAGTGGTAATATAAATAAATATGGTCAATATAAAAACATTTCCATTGTGTATGAAAAGCATACTCATTCACTATTTGTCTTTCGCCTTATATTCTAAATAAATGAGGATCGCTTGATCAAGGTTCACACCTGCTTTACTGTGAAAACGTCCTACACTCTCTGTATCCTTCCTATTCTATTTTATCTAACTCAATCTTGAAAAGGACATCAAACAGCACCTTGACCCTGCTTCTGGATCATGTGGTCGACCCTGAGTCCAGGAAGAAGCTTAGACATATTTTCAACTGCCTTTGTTGAAATGCTGCCCTGTGTAACCTGGCGAGAATAAAAGGTTGCTGTATTTCTCTTAAAGTTCTTGCAGTGGTATGAATCACTAATGTTTCTGAATACCCCTACACATTGTCTGTGTTCAGTGAAGCGTATCCAAATACAGTTTGCACTGACAGTTGAGATATGGATTGGGTTATATCACATTTCTTCAACTGTTTATTGAAAAGTGAGGCTGCAAAATGACTACTCCATTGATGGATCATTCTCAAGACCTGACAATATATTCACCTAAGTAGTTTAAATTAAGCTAATACAAAGCAAAGCACACAGACCTCACCTACAAACAACAAGAGGAAGGAATAATAAGCATTGTGCACATTGTGTATTGCCTTGAGGTTCACTCTACCTTACTTCTACCTCTAAAAGACGTGTCATATATACAAGAGACTGTGAATTTAAAAGAAGGCTGCTAATTATTTATGGCTATGCAAGATGTTCAGCACTAATAGACCGCACTGGCTGAGAATGAGTTTTATTTTCTAAGAAATAAAACAAAAATGCAAGATTTTAGGAGGGACTGATTGCTGAAAACTCTCATATCCGTCTAATATTGGCAATAAGCAGTGCCCATGGGATGCCTCTCTAGCTACTGTAAACTAATCTGATGCTCGTCTTATTAGATGCAACAGATTTGCCTGCAGGGGAGAACTGTGCAGTAGAACTGCTAATAAAATATTATTAGAGAAGTGAAAGATAATTTAACTTAAAGAAATGCAAGTGGTTTGTCTTTCATGTTGGATCTTTAATGTAACTGTCATGTAACAAGTTGCTATTGTTCAATTTGCAAAACTAAGAGTTTTGGTTTTAGTAATAGTCCTGCAGTCAGATTTCCTGCTGCGCCTACATCTGGTCACATGACCCTTGGCTTGCAGTTCTTTATTTACGAGTGTTGAGAAGGTTGTATTTGTCACAATCTGAATCTAAAGCGAATAGTTTTTTTGCTAGAACAATACAGCAAGACCACATTAAAACAGTCAAAGATAGGAAAGTAAATTCAATTTTGTGGTAAAAACAAAGCGGTGCTTTTTTTTTTCTTTTTTTTCTTTGAGATTTTCATAAATCACTGCAGAATAGCATGAATATATTCTGCTTTGCATATGAAAACGGTGTCTGAATGAAGTGGCTCAGTGTTGCAGTGCTCAGACACCTTTGTTTAGTTTAGGTTTCTTGGCAACAAAAACAACACATAGCACTGCAGACCTTAGGCTGTAAGCTGGTGCCTGTTTTCAGAGGTAGGGTGCTTCTTCTGAGCAATTTTCTGGCTAAAGTTGTAATTATTTTCATGTTATACATTTAAGGGCGTGGGAGGTGGGTTTCAAAGGAAAGTTTGGGTTCTAATGGTCTTAGTTCTTGATTTTTGTTTATTTATTTATTTATGTTTAGCATGTATGTTCATAACTTTGCAATCAAAGTAGTTTTGAATGCTGGGGTCTTGACATTCTGTCACCTTATTTCAAAATAGGACTTAACTCAACAACTTTTCCTTCATTCATACAGACTGAGACAAAGCTTTCAGCCCAGACATGTCGAGAGCACACAGCCTGGAATCGAGGGGGATGACAGCTGAAGGGAAATTCGCTCAGATTAACCATTTCCCATTCACTCCTGAATTTACCAATATGCTTACAAAAAGCAGTCCATGTTTTGGTGCCTTGAGTCACCACTCATTCTTCTCCCGGCACAACCCTCATCCACACAGGATGAGGCATATTCAAGGTGAGCAAACAGCTGGGCAAGCGGAAGATATCTATTTATTTTATTAAATGTATTATTTTTAAATAAAGCCCAAGATATGTTTTTTTACATGTGTGTTTGTGGTGCTATAAATAAGAAGCATCTTTAAGAAGTAAACATAAGACAATACTCTAGCTCCCATCTTGATTCAAATGATCTAACTGTAACACACAAAAATCTCAGCTAAAACTGGGCCTGATGCAGCTCAGGTTCTTGAAGGTTCTTATGTATGTCTCATATTATGTTGTATTTATGTTGTTGCCTTGCAATCACCTGCCAACAGACTAAATTGCAGGTGATTTAGTATTTATGGACTTAAAACAGTTAAACACCTTATGATAAAATCATTTAATTGTAATTAAATATTAAGTATTCATGCTAAGTATTCTGAAATAAAAATGACAACAAGGTACTTCAGTAAAACATGGAGTCTTTGAATCTATTAGCAGTTGTTCAGCAGGAACCAAACACAGGCCCTGGTAAATGACTTCAGCATTTATCAAATAGTTGTGTCTCTTTTTCCTTGGCCAGAGCTGTTGAGGTAAGTCTCTATAAAACAGAATTGGCTCGTCTCCTTTCCTAAGAGCTTCGCTTTAATGCTCTATGAAGGTAAGTGACTTTGGCAAGTGGGGTGAGAGTGGGTCAGACAGGCTGGCAGGTAAGTGGTTATGTCAGGTGGGGAAGAGTGGGTCAGGCTGGTCTGTGGGTATGTCTTACAGCAGCATCCAACAGGATGGATGGAACACAGGGGTGCCTGTCTGGGATTTTCTAAGCCACACCCACCACTGCAAGAGAGGATGGGTTGGGCGTGACTGTGAAAGACAATCACAATAATAATAAAATCATTTAACAAATATGGAATATACAAGTTTTTGATGTAACAATGTCAAATTGTGATTTTTTTCCCATGTCAGTATTATTTGTGTTTAGCGACTATATCAAAATTTTAATATAGGATAACTTAGTGTATAAATGTACATAAGGGACCTCATGTGAATTAGTCCAGTCTACAAAATTACCTACATGCCATTTTATATATGCATTTTTGTAGGTGCATGTTGCTGTTAAGCATAGGTAAACAATAAGGCGTTTTGTACTGCGGTCCTGCTCAAAATGTTATACAAACTTATTACGTAATGTTGTGGTAAGTTTCGACTTTTAATGATTTGTTCGTTATATCTGGTTAAATGTCCCTAAGCATTTAAACATTTAATTTAGACATTTAATCATCCAGATTTTTGTGCACTTAATTCAAGTTTATTAACATTATCAAATATGTATGTTGTGCAATCATTTCACCCCGAATGAATGATTCAAAGAAATCACTTAAAGCCCAAACTTACCAATTTATGCCTGCGATCAGTGGATGTAATCTGACCACAACTGTGCATGGGTGCACCGTATATTCAAATTTTGCATGCCATGTTTTCATTATGGGAGTGGACAGTATCTGGTTGATGAGTCAGTGGACAATTAGACAATGGACAATTGACTTGCCACTTTTAGCATACATAGGTGTAAATGCCTTTTATGGCACAGTGTGTATTTTTGTCAGGTCTTTCCATTGCAAAGTAAAAAGCCCTAATGGGACTGTTGTTGTGATCCATATAAATAAAACTGAATTGTTTGTATCTATCTATCTATCTATCTATCTATCTATCTATCTATCTATCTATCTATCTATCTATCTATCTATCTATCTATCTATCTATCTATCTATCTATCTATCTATCTATCTATCTATCTATCTATCTATCTATCTATCTGTCTGTCTGTCTGTCTGTCTGTCTGTCTGTCTGTCTCTGTCTGTCTGTCTGTCTGTCTGTCTGTCTGTCTATCTATCTATCTATCTATCTATCTATCTGTCTGTCTGTCTGTCTGTCTGTCTGTCTGTCTGTCTGTCTGTCTATCTATCTATCTATCTATCTATCTATCTATCTATCTATCTATCTATCTATCTATCTATCTATCTATCTATCTATCTATCTATCTATCTATCTATCTATCTATCTATCTATCATTAAATTTGTTTCCATTGAGAGGCAGCTTTTATTAAAGCTGCCCTGATAATTGGACACACTATATATAATTTGTCAGTGATATTTAGCGTAATGCTTTGCACTGTTTATGCAAACAAGAAGTAAACAACTTATTGAAGAAATCATAGCAAATAACTGAATAACTGTTTAACTGAATCAAATTAAGTGTGTCCAAGAAAGTATCCATCCATCACTGAAATTCAGTTAAAGTAAGGAGTAATAAAGTCTATGAAGGTAGGAGACTGTGCTGGAATAATTGCTCAAAGATATTTTCACCCAGGAGACTGGAGTTTGTATTTGTTAACTAAAGTCAGTGCTGGCTTATTATTTTCATCTTTTTCCACTTTGATCCAGGTTGTTAGGTTTGGGAAAAAGAAAAAAAAACACATCCAAATTTAGGTTCAGTAAAACCCTTTCCCGTGTCTACCATGTGTTAGAAAGCCTGGCAGAAAGTGCTGAAGGCAAACTTCTCCCACAACATGTTAGAAATGTGTAGTGGTTTGTGAGGCTCTTTCATAACTCGTGTTCATAAGTAAAATTTAGTTGCATCATAAATACAAATGTAATATGATTAAAACAAACAAAACTATACCAAATGATATTTTTTGTGTCTTGCAAGTTAGCTATAGTACATCAGCGTTTTTAGAGTGTATCTCCTACAAACCTTTAAATGTTTTGTTAACATTTTATCCTGCTGTCCTCAATTAGCATTTTCCCTTTGTCATTACCAAATGCTTTTCAACTTGAGACTGCAAAGTCTCTTTGCTGCATTAATTTAGAGGTTATTATCTAATCTACCTGGGACACACTGAATAATAATCTGTTTGCGTACTAATTAATTCTGACTCGAGGTGATTACCTGTCAGAGCTAATTAAAGTTAATATATGAGCTAAAGCCATTAACAAGGTCTTCATTCTTGAAGTCTTCCTTCTTTCACAACCTGCTCTATATGAAATATTTCAAGCAGCTGTTTGGGCACCTGGAATGCTAATATGTAACATGAATAGATAAATTTACTGCACTACTGGTAGAAAAGAAGGTTACATCCCTGAGGTTCCCATGAACTCATCACGTTTATTCTCAGCAGGGATTCTGCTGGCTCCAGTTTTTTTTAAAATTGTACTGCTTCGATGGATTTGTGCCTCTAAAGCACTTTTCTGTGAGCAGGGTGAATACTGAGCATTTCTCATTCCCACAGGATTCACAGGCAGACCAATTTGCATGGTAAGAGATGATTGGTGTGTCACGTCGTCGTTATTTCCTCATCCACTTCTCAAGAGCCACATAAACAGGAAAGCAGCAGAGCCAGCTTTTCAGCTTGCTCAAAATCTTTATGGAGTCTGCGGAGACAAAACTAAATCAGGTATGTGTACTAACATATATGACACCTAAATGTCTTTATATCTTTTCTAATGGCCCCCAAAGAAGCCAATTCTGAGTAATGGCTTTAATCGTTTTGTAATTGTTTCTTTTTTCACAGCACTATTGTCAGATGCCTGGAGAGATGAACTCAAAGAAATGGCTGCAAAAATCAGTCTAACTTCCCAAACACAAAAGGACAAAAGAGAGGTATTAATAATTGAATTCTCATGTAGTTTTACAGTACTTGACACACAGTAAAAAATCCTTTGTTTGATTATGGCTATCCAGTGCCTGATGGTAAAGGGAATTTAGAGATTGGATGTGACAGTATATGGACAGTATACTTATTAATACCTTCACGTTTTTCATTATTTTTTTACATATTTTCTAATTTAAGTTAATTTTGTAGAGTTCTTCAGTTTCTTTCTAACTCAAGAAGATTTCATACTGCAAAAATGTATCCATGTACTGCAGGAACAACCAGAGGAAAAGTTTGTCCGACGAAAGACTCAATATTCAGCTCAGACTGGCAGACTTATTCCTCCATCCTCCAAGTCCTACCTGCGCAAATCTCAATACCAGCGCATGAGCCATCCTCAACCCTTCCATGATCAAGAACTTATGGTAAAATACTGGTTAACTGATCCTGAGTTGTACTGTATAATATGAGGTGTTTTAGGGTTAAAACAAACAAACAAACAAACAAACAAACAAAAAGGGTTAAAAAGGCAAGATCCAACATCACAGAGGGTACAGCTTTTGGTCAAAGTTCCACTTCATTAGATATCTGAAAAATATCCTCTGGCAAAACACTGTCACCAAGTTTCTTGAGAAGTTCACTAATAAGTTCAATAAAACTTCATGTGATCTCTGAGCTACTGTTGTGACGGTCTGTCGCTTTCTTGTCAGGTTTTGGAGATACTTTGTCAGATCCTGCAGACAGACTCTCTCTCCACAGTGCAGCAGTGGCTTCTTCTTTCAGGCCAAAGAGGTAAAAATCCTCATTCCACATACACAGCGGAGATATACACACTACCATTTCCAGTTATAAATAAGCGTTCTTTAAACCATTTCCTAATACATGCACTTTCAAGAGTCTGGCACTGCATCCCCCTCCTACTTTTTTAGCAATTAATTTGTCACTTTGGATTTTTTCTATGCACACTGGCCACTTTTTTAGGTT